AGAAAGTTCACTGCGAAAAAAGCGGCTTTCACCGGAATAATGTGATCCTAAAATGGCTTCCCATTTAATATTAGACGAAATGTTCACATGACGTCTGTCCATTGTTCTCTTTTCTTTCTGCTTCTTGCTTGCATTGTTTCTCTTATTCTTGTTAGCATTTGATCTTGTCAGATAGAAAGGACAATACAATTTCAAACAATTCGGTAGGGAGTTTCTCGATTGTTCTGTACTTGATCATTATTGATGCTGCTCCGGTCTTCTACGAGAATTTGAAGCTGAACTGCAATTCCTAACGGGAAATAGCGGGGGCTGAAGTGGCACCCGATTGCAAAAGGGTAAAATTGCTCCCTTCACGTCACTGGTTGATGTCATCTTATTGTGAGAGCAACCAAGCCACGTGCTTGGATCTCTCGTGTATTCGTTGAGGCGTCCCATAGAAGGGAGAAAACGCGTGACTGGGAAAATGCTTGAACGATGATCAGGTGAAGGCAGTCATCTTCATCTGATTCATTTTGGCAACGATTCCAACATCGTTCCTGAGTTTTTGGACTCCTTTTCTGTGAGCATTCAAAACAACAAAAAATGAAATTGCTCAGGTTAAAGGACCGTCACCCTTTTACTGATGGTTCAGTGTTTCTGATGTTTCCAATCGAGACGCAGCTGCCTATTTCTGGTCCTTTCATTCGTCAGTCATCATCTAACCGTTACTAGTTAGTCCGGCTCATCATAGCCACCGTGGGCGTTCAGCTGGCTGGAGTGACGTCATTGCGCCTATTGTGGCGCTCGACCAGCAGACGTTTTCCTGAAGTGCATTCGTCATGCTGAGTGCTTCGGAAACGAGGCTGTCGCATGGGAATTCGTGGGAGTTCCCCATCAACGCTTCAAACAAAGGCTTGAAAGTGACTTTGTTCTGATACCGGTGAACCTAATACGGTATTTGCTGGAGGGGCTTTTGATGCACTTGTGTTATTACTACAATTGCAGTAGCTATTGTGCAGGATTTCCCAGTTTTGTACATTTCGTAGTTCTGTTATGAGGAAAGTAGTTGAGTAGTTTTCTTTGCAAAAATGTTTCATTGGAGAGAAATATTGACCCATATCTATTCCAATATTTTATGCAATTTTTCTCATTTTGAATCTTCATCCACTGGCAACGACTCTAGTTTTGCGATTTCAGGCAGACAGTCTGGCCGAGATTGACATCAGCGAGGTACGAAAATGTGGCGAAAAAGCCGATGCAAGGCAATTCGAGTTGCTCAAGGTGAGTGCTCATTACTGTTCGAGTTCCTCTCTTGCACCTTGCTCTTGAACTCAAAAAACGGCGATCTGGTCTGTTTCAACCCACCCTTCGTCACAAATCGACCACCTCTCTTGATGTTTTCGATTTTTGTTCCTTGTACTGTAGCCTACGAAGCGGTGTGAAGCAAATGTAGCGCAGTTTGAAAAGGGCGCAGCACAATGGATTCGATCCTGTCCACGGCAACCGAACCGAAAGTTGACTACTTGGGATCAGAGTTGCCTAAAAATGGCGTTCAGCGCAGATAATCTCTTTCTGGTGTGCGCCACACACTCTTCTTCTATTCAGAATGGCATTTCAAATCGAGTTGAGCCTAAGCATTAAGCGGAGGCCAGCAGAAGTACAAGAGAATGTTTTCAAACTCTGGCACCAATACATCGAATCGTTAGGACGGAAGCCTTGATTGGACTGGGCGACTAAGATCCAAGATTTGATCCCCGACTCGTGGGCGTGGTAAGCAGTTTTTTGCCATCGCATCACTGCCGCCCTGAATATCTAACAAAATGATAAAAACAAGGGTTTCAACATCGGACGGCCCCACATCTATCTACAGTGTTTGTTAGTTATCTCTAAAAGTCTTGCGGTCATAGATAATCGGAAATTTTTAAGGTACTCGGCCAAGGTTCATTTGGAAAAGTGTTTCTCGTGAGGAAAATCCGCGGACGTGACACTGGGCACATTTATGCGATGAAGGTCTGTTACATTTTATCTGACAATTTCAATACGCCATTGACTCTTATCAGATTGTATTTTCATATTTTTATATTTCATTTTTTCATATATTTATATTTTATTATTTATTTTATATTTTTGATCTGTATATTTTTTTAGTTTTATTGTACTGTCCAGCTTCTGCTAATAGTACGTACAGGAATTCAGTTGTTATGCATTCTCCCAGTTCTATTCACTAAAAGATGTCCCCCTAATGAAAAACAGGTTTTTCTTATCACTAATGTGAACTCAGATCAAATTTCGTCAAATTACGTAACGCTCCCTTTTGGCCTCCCAACACCTCTTTCGCCCGATCCTCAGCAGGTTTGACGTCAGTGAACAGGTGTAAGCCATGTGTGTGCACACAGTACTGGTATTTTGTTTGTGCAGCCGGTTCGATGTCGTGGGCGCTTCGCGCATGCATGGGAATTCAGCACGAAGGAGTTCCTAACGTAGCATCAGAGGTTATTGAAAAAATTATAGAGGATTGCGGGAGGTCATCTGTTATCCAGTAACCATGTGAACTTCTTTGAGCACGGCCATTTAATGGTTTGCAATAAGCTCTGTAAAAGAACGCCTTCTACCCGTTTTCTACTTCCCATCCATTGATAGTTTTTCCTTGTGAAAACTATCAAACCATCGCCAGCAATAAATACAGAATAGATTTTCCACCTCTTTCTTCCATAATTGTTTCTTATAATTTCTGAGGTCATAAAAGGAAAAAGAAGAAAAAATAAAGAAAAGCAGTGTGTGGAAGCTTCCTCCTCCCAGTTCTTTTGACTCGCTTCTTTACTGCCCATTCAACCACTTTTTATAAAATCGATGTAATGCTGGTTAAATTCCATATTGTTGAATGTGGATGAAACCTCTCTGACCTTCTCAACGTGTTTCGTCACCACTGAACGTGAAGCTTAAAATAAACGCCCCCGCGACCAGCGTTTCAATGTTTTCAATCGAGAAAATCATTTTTCCAAAATCGGTTGATACAAAAAAAGCGATCATGTTCTGTTTTTGCGTTTATTTTTGGCCATGTCAGCACAATGCCTCATATCTTGCGAAGCGCCTTCAATTGGCAGAAGTCAGTCCACTACTTTTTTGGATGTCGATGATTTGGATTTCACTATGCAAAACAGCCTATTCCATAGTTTTGCAATGTTGGTCCGCCGTATTGAAATGAAACCATGTGCGTGTCAATGAAGATCTGCACGATTACTTATGCTTTTTGTGCACTGACGTGAGGTGTGTGCATTCCAGATGCGACTTTTCAAATTGCTATTAGTGATGCGCCAAGCCCAAATAAATCTTTCTGTCTTTTTTTACCAGTAAATTTCTTGCTTATTGAAGCTAATATGTTCAATTTTTGGAGGTTATGGACGTGTTTTCAGGACAATGTCGATTTCTTTATAAGTTCCGATTTTTAGGTATTGAAGAAGGCCACACTGAAAGTACGTGACCGATTGCGGACAAAAATGGAGCGCAACATCTTAGCGCACATCTCACACCCGTTCATTGTTAAACTGCATTACGGTATGTCCTCAAGATTTCTACCAGTGGAATTTTCTGGTCCCAACCTGCGCCTGTCTCTACCTTTGCGTCAATGCCCTTGTGATAGTGATGGTCCAGACTTTTGAAATGAGAAGTTTAGCATTGTTCAAGATGAGTGCTCCTCTTGAAAGCTTTTCACTAGCCGCTATCGGCGAGAATAGGGCCTTTCCAGTGTTGATGAGTCCAGTACCGTACAAAAAACAAGCCTCTTGTCATATGCGTTGAGCGCACTGCGTTCCGCCGAAGTTCCTGTCCCGTCTTCTTGATCCCTTGAGAAGTCCATGTATTGGCGATACGACCTCCCTTAGGGAGTTCGGGGAAGAAAACAAACCAAGCTGTTACCCAATGAGTTTATCTTTAATGAGCCGTTTTTGAAAGCGGCGCACACCGCAGACTTCGAATGCACTTCATGACTTTGAGACATTTACGTGATTTAGAAATCAGCGAGAGCGCATAGCGTCCATGGCATAGCATATTGGATTCCGAGCACATGATGGCTCTTGTGATGAATGCGTGAGGCTCTCACAAATCCCCGTCAAACTCCCTGGGGAGTAGTTGGTTTGTGGCCATCAGGAACGGAGAATTCACTAGCGAGCATAGCGCATACTTCGATCTCTTTATCTCTCTTCTTCCTCTGCAGTTTTCCTCAATCTTCATTCCATTCCACTCTTTCAGCCTTTCAAACCGAGGGCAAACTATACCTGATTTTGGACTTCTTACGAGGCGGTGACCTGTTCACGCGGCTGTCTAAAGAGGTTCGTGTACTAATTCGTCCCGTTGTGTAAATATTTTCGCTTGATATCTTGTGGAGAGTATCTCGTCGGTAATCTCATTTCAACGGATTAGGCATCACAGATGGATGCATAAATATAATGCATTCCTTGTGTCCCTTGCGGTGGCAAAACCACCGGACTGGTCCCTAATTCTCGGCCTATCCAACACCCTGCTTGGAGAGCGTTTTCATGGCATGTTCCAACAATTGGGGAATGCTGAGTGCATCACATCACTAATCCGGTGAATCCAAGGGTACTGCGATCGTTACCGAGATTAGTTACGTCCGGGCCGCACCTAATTTTTGACCATTCAGGCTTCGCTACGGTGGTTTGCGAGCCAAGTAAGCATGTATACTTATCAAAATTGTTACCGGGCGAAAATTCGTGAATTTTGGTTGCTGACTAATCACCATATTCTCCATACAATTGCTAACCGCACTCCAATAAGAATCGGCTTCTTAGGGAGGTCCTGCCCAAGTGACGTCGTGACAAGATTCCGGATATGTCCTTGGGCTCCATCTGAGGCTAAAGCAAATCAAACAGGGGCATCTAGACGATGGTTTCGGTTTCGGTTTATTTGTTCCGGCGCCAGTCCATAGCGGGGGCGCAGCAGTGTGGCCAAGTAGGAGTAGGAGTGAGTCGAGGTGAACACTGTGTTGTTGACTATTGATCTTGGTGGTCAGAAGATGTGTTTGTCGTTGTTGCACCTCTCCACTGCCTCCACGCCTATACCTGTTCTCTTAGAAAACATTGCTTGCTTTCGACGAACTGGATTGCTCTTTTAGAACCCAAAGAACTGAACGGGTTGACTTTCTGCTAGACGACTCTTTGAAGCTGCGTTCTAAATCAATACGCCGCGTCACAAGCGAAAACAGCTAGCCTTTTAATGAGGAGCTTCTGTTGGTGTCTGAAACGGAAGAAGCACCCATTCTAGCAAACACAGCTCAAAGGGTACGATTCTCGAAACGTTGTATGGCAACCAGTTACAGGTCATGTTCACGGAGGAGGATGTGAAGTTTTATCTAGCCGAGTTAACGCTGGCTTTGGAGCACCTCCATTCGTTAGGTATCGTCTATCGGGATTTGAAGCCAGAAAAGTGAGTTTGCGGGGGTCTCAAATAACCTGCATTATTGTGACGTGACTGATTGTTTACTATTGTTTACAGCATCCTCTTGGACGCTGATGGCCACATTAAAGTGACCGATTTTGGTCTCAGTAAAGAATCGATCGATAACGAGAAGAAGACGTACAGCTTTTGTGGTATGTTTACTAGACCTCATTTAACAGTTCCTTTTTTCGAGCAATTTTTTGACCCACTTCTGTTGTGCTTCGGTTCAGCTCTCGCAATATGTTCATGTTTCGTGTGTGGTAAAGCATTGACTTCCAGGAACGATCGAGTACATGGCCCCAGAGGTGATTAATCGACGTGGACACTCGTGCGCCGCCGACTTCTGGTCGTTGGGTGTCTTGATGGTGAGTCGGCTGAACGTCAAACAAACCTTTGCCAGAAAGAGTGGGGCTGTATAATCTGCTGTGGTGAAGTGTCCAGTTATTTCTAATGAACCCTCATTCTACACTGGTGTGCAAAACTTAAGGACGAGACAGATGAAGTATCATAACCTTTTGATAGCTTTGTGGACCGTTTAACGGTTCCTGTTAACTGCTTTCTTTAGTGCCCTGTGGCAGCTCTTTGTATGTGTGGTTAGGTTCCATAGAGTCATGTTACGCGCCAGTAACACGTCGTTGGAAAAGCCACATTCGCCATAAGTTTAGAACACCAGTGTACGTGCTGAACACGGTACTTGAAAGTTCTTTGAAAGTCACAATTACCCCCAAAAATGAGATCATCAAAAATCGTTTGTTTTCGTGGGAGGGCAAGGTGAAACGCTAGTTGAACTACTTTCTCGTCCTTTCCCACTACTCTCGAAATTTTTGAATAACCTTCACTAATAGCAGTGGTAATTGAGCTATGGCCACCTTGAAGCAATGGCAGTTTAACATTGCATTATTTGGCGCAAATTCCCGAACTGTCCCGTCGTTTCCAAAGGCCTTGTTCCAGCACGAAGTGCAGTGAAACACTACACTCTTGTCGCTTCTTCTCAGCTCCCGCTCATCTCTCTTTCACTTCCCCATAGCTCCTATATTCCGTCATCGCGGTTATAGAACCAAGGGGATACGAAAAGTCGGAGTCTTCGACCGTTGAAGTATAATGAAAAACGATACTGCGCAAAAAGTAACACATCATCCATTGCGCCTATTCCAAATTGCAAAGTATTGCATGCTCTCGAGAGTCAAAGCGGTATTTGATAGAAACGGGGCTTTTTTTAGAAAGCTAAATACCAAAAATCGTTCACAGACGTGAGCGCTCAGCTCAATTTCGCAAGCACTCCTCTAATCCGTATTCATTGAGAGTCATAATGCCTCGTCTTTCCTCCGCACTCTATAGATCACTCTAAGCCTTATCCGAGCAGATAGCCGATCTCTGAATAGTTATGATTTCGCTTTCGATAGAAGCCAACCAAGTCAAGACATTGGAGAGAAACCTCAGAAAAGGCTTACAGGGATTAAAATCGCTACAGACGCACCCGTGAAGAAGACATAAATAAGAAGCTTGGAGCTGCTTGTAGTACTTGTGATGGCAGGTCTCCTTAATAGAATAAAAGCGCTGATAGAGGAGCAAAAGTGACGTCTCAGAGCTTGATCTTCCTCGCCTCAATGCTTCAACCAACTATAGTCATTAGCGCCAGACACCGTTATGAGCTGTGTACTCTTCGTCACTTGAGAAGGTAACTCAGAGCAGTGCAGAAAATCGCACGTAGCGACAGGGAAAGAGACGATCAGAGTCATCAGTCAGCAACGAATAACTGTGAATCGTACGAATGAAAATTGATAAGAGTAGATCTTCATATTCGAGTATACAGATTCTAAGTCAAGTATTTACCAAATACATGGAGAGGGAAACAACAACATCACTTGTTTCCAGTAAAACTCTCTCTATATTTCTATCTCTACTCTATCTTGAAAGTCACAATTACCCCAAAAATGAGATCATCAAAAATCGTTTGTTTTCGTGGGAGGGCAAGGTGAAACGCTAGTTGAACTACTTTCTCGTCCTTTCCCACTACTCTCGAAATTTTTGAATAACCTTCACTAATAGCAGTGGTAATTGAGCAATGGCCACCTTGAAGCAATGGCAGTTTAACATTGCTGGAAAGTAGAAGATAGAAATATTGAGAGAGAGTTTCACGGAAACAAGTGATGTGTTTTGTTTCACTTCCATGTTTTGGTAATTATCTGACTAGAACTTGTGACCGAAATGAAGATCTACTCGTTATCATTTTCTTCGTACGATTCACAGTCTCTTCGCTGTGACTGATGATCCCGGAGTCGTGCTCTTTTCCCTGTCCGCTACGTGGCGATTTTTCTGCACTGCCGGAAGTGGCCTTCTCAAGTGACGAAGTGTAACGACAGCTCGATAAGCGGCTGCTGCTGGTCGCCTAATGACTTAGTTGTTGAAGGCCAGTTGAGGCGAGGGATTGACAAGCGCTGAGGACGTCCTTTGCTCCTCTATCCAGCGGCTTTTATCGAGTAGGAGACCGTGCCATCACAGTACTACAGCAGTTCCAGCTTCTTATTATGTCGTATTTCAACGGGGTGGTTCTTGTAGCGATTTTAATCCCTGTAAGCCTTTCGAGGTTTCTCTCCAATGTCTTAACTTGGTTGGCTTCTATCGAAAGCGAAATCATAACTATTCAGAGATCGGCTATCTGCTCGGATAAGGCTTAGAGTGATCTATAGAGTGCGGAGGAAAGACGAGGCATTATGACTCTCAATGAATACGGATTAGTGGAGTGCTTGCGAAAGTGAGCTCAGCGCTCACGTCTGTGAACGATTTTTGGCATTTGGCTTCTAAAAAAAAGCCCCGTTTCTATCAAATAGCGCTTTGACTCTCGAGAGCATGCAATACTTTGCAATTTGGAATAGGCGCAATGGATGATGTGTTACTTTTTGCGCAGTATCGTTTTTCATTAGACTTTAAGTGGTCCAAGACTCCGACTTTCGTTCCACACCTTGGTTACACATTGACGTCAGTAATATAGGAGCTATGGGGAAGTGAAAGAGAGATGAGCGGGAGCTGAGAAGAAGCGACAAGAGTGTAGTGTTTCACTGCACTTCGTGCTGGAACAAGGCCTTTGGAAACGACGAGATGGTCGGAATTTTGGCCGAATAAATCTTCCACCTTATAACCTTGAGCTTGAAATACAACTTACATTCACAAAAACCACTGGGATGCCAAGATTTCTCTGTGGGAGGCTTGAGATTCACGCACTGTTTACCCTTTACTGTCCCACTCCTCAAAAACTGAGCCGGATTTTGATCGAAATTTGTCCATGACTAAGGATTTGGCTAGAAAGTTGTCTCTAGAGGTATTTCGACCCGTAGAACACGAATATCACATCGTCTAAGTCCTGTCCTGAGAACAAGTTTACAGAAAATTT